CATATTTCCTACAATGTTTGTACTGTTTGATGTACTATGTAACCTACCACTTCACATATGCCCCATCTTCAGGGTTGGTCCTGTTATTCTTTTGATACATGTGACTTCATGTTATTTTATGAAATGTCAGTGAACATGATGACACAGGAAAGGTTATGAACCTTGCTATGTTATGCTGATGTCATGTCTTCCATTTCATTTTGTAGGTAATATTCAATCGACACTACTCTCCGAGTTCAGATGCAGACAAGTGCACGTTATTTGCCAAAAGAAACCTGATCAACAGAAGAAATGTTGTTGCAGATGTCACTAGTAACTGGACACCATGTAAAGCTTTCATGCTGTAGATATCAAAGCCCGTGTGCTAGTAGCTGCTATGAAAATCTTAGGCATGCAAAATCTTGATGACCAGCCGCAGACATTCACCATATATGATCCAATAAAGAATGCTTCGATGATAATCAAGCAGTTGTACCTGCAAAAGGTTTGTGCTGCCATCGTGGAAGAGTTCATAATCAACCAAGATCTCCAACAGAAAATGATTGACAGTATTCTTACAAATCAAGAAGCAGAGAATCTAGTCAATAACCAAGAACTCACCCCGGATGGGAAGTTCCCGTGCAGGTTTCCTGGGTGCAWCAAGGTATATGTGTTTGATGGAAAGAGCCGGAGAAACCATGAGTTAACCCATGATCCACCACCTGAACCACCATCTGTGACAGCAGACATACCAGTGACAAAAAAGATTGATGAAAATAATAAAAAGCAAGATGTTCATGTTTTTATTTCTACGGATTCAAATGCTGACAAAAGGTAAATTTGACCCAAGATATGATCTCAGAACAGTAAACAACTGAATTCTAACTGATTCGAACGTTGCAAAAAGTTCTAATAAAGCTCATGGTGTTCATAGTTAAATTGTCCTCACCACAATATATTCATGAAGTGTTGTTGTTAATAGTACAATAGTTTTCAAATTTTTCACTCCATTTCAATATTTCCTACAATTTCATTCACAATGTCTGGAATGTTCCAATTGTTCCCAGACTGATTTTCTGAGTCTTCCAGCACACTCATGTCTTCAGGAAACAGGCCACTGTAGGTGAACTCACTCCAGTTAATGTCCATGGATCTTCATAATGTTCATTCGGAATAATGACACCCCWTAAAGTATTGTCATCTTCTTCTTCATCAGAAACATCAAAATCTATAATATCTGCTGCTGAGTTATCAATCGTATCATCATCACTCATATCATTAAATACCTCTCTCATTATTTTCAAGAGTGAGGTTGCATGCTTTCTTTTCCAAATTTCTACAAATCTGTAAATGTCTGCTATACAGAATATCAAGTCTCATGTACATGTTTTTCCTGAAAATAATTAGGCACTTGAGTTCTAACAGTTTTTGAGAGCTGACTTCACGTGTTCGTYCCTGGTATGCTGCATCTGTTGCAGCAGGAATGAATTGTACTGAAGAGCTTACATCGCATTTGTCGCATTTTGATTGTTCTTCACAGTTGTTGCCTGCTACATCAAAATGGTTCATGAGGAAATTTCGTCTGCAGTCACACTTCCCTCTGACATAGTCCCTCATGTCTTTATCAACATGTACTAACATCAATGACTTGTAGAATATTATACACTTGCTTGGCATTCCATCTCTACCAGCTCGTCCACTATAGCTCTCAATTGACTTTGAGGGGCCAAAATGGATCACAGTGTGGACCCCCTTGCAATTTACTCYCATTCCAAATGCTATAGTACATATCAATATTTTAATATGCGCATTCTCATTGCTCATGTCAGACAATGCATGGAGCATCTCCACTTTTCTTTTAGAAGGGTTATCAGCATCTATGACAAAGTTCTTTCCAAGCTCATTAATAAAAAGGGAGTATAATTCTGAGCACTGCTTGATTGTTTGGCAGTAGATTATWCTTCTGTCAGATGATTCACCTTTGTCCTTTAAATCATCAATAACCCATTTGAAGTAGTCMATAGGTTTGTACTTGGTGTTCATACAGACAACATGAAAAGCAAGGTTGTCCTTGTTTGGGCTTTGTGAAATATCCACAAAGTTATTCAGACGAAGTACACTTATTATGTCGGTCTTTGTTGCTGTAGCAGTGACAGCCATGAATAGAACACTGCTTGGGACCAATGACCGTAGCTCACTCAAGCGATAGAACCACCGCCGRAAARCAACCGCTTTCTGACTGGTTGATGTTCCCCTATTAAAAAACGAAAAGCAGCTATCATTAATTTTTTTCACAAAGAAATAAAGTGTTAATTAATATTCATAAAATATATGACATGTATAAGAAAGAGATCTGTGTAATGAGCTCAATTTCAACAACATTGAATAAATTCTATAATTGAACGAGTCACTTTCTTTAAAATAATATGTCTAACACACATAGGTTACTCTGATAAGTGAAGCTACATGTATAAAGATACTGCGATTGCTTTTTTTAGTGATTGTTTTCTTCAAAACTACGAAAATATTCAGCAGCTCAAATCTCAAAGAGTCGATTTTGCATGACTGGGAAACAGTGATAAGATGATACGGATATGATAGTCTATGAATACAACACGGCCTGAATTTCGGACCGGTTACTGCAACGGTACATGTCGAAATCGACTCGATCATTTTCTATAATACTTTCAAAATAAAGATTTTACGCAGCGTCTAATAATAATAATAATAATGGAAACTATTTGTTTATAGATTCATACAGTTGAAAATCTCACTACGTATAGGCAATTTACAACTGGCTACTTGAATTGATAAAAAAAATATATATATATATGATATATTAAAGAGAATTGAACAAAAATTGAACATAAATTGTCATCAGAGTRCTCAATAGCAAACACTAGAGCAAATATACATAAGAAAAAAATGAAACGACTAAAGATTTGGCATCATTTACTACTATATAGTTTCGTACCGCACAAAGAATTGTGCGGCACTCATCAGGTAAGTAGCCAAATTTAAAATGATTTACAACGGTTAATAGATATATGATATAGGCGGATTTACAATGATATAGCGTGACATGGTAATTAACTGATTGATTAAGATCTAAAGTTCTTTAGAAGGTATTTGCCTGCGTGTCTACATGATGTTACAAGTTCGTTTCTTTTGTTAAGTGTAGTATAGAGAGGTGCGGTTTACATATTATATAGTATTTTTTCCATAGACATAAGTTGCAGCGTTTGGAGACAGGATTATATGAAGCAGCTTGTTTGATAATTTTCCAGGATATTTTAAAAGTTTTGTTTTCATCTTTTAGGTTCCAGATGTGTTTGCTTAGTTCAGTGCTTAGTTTTTTATGTTCATTATTGAAGGACGTTTTGTGGTTAGCGTATCTAGTTTTAAATGTTGAAACAACAAAACAAAACAAAACAAAACAAAACGTCCTTCAATAATGAACATAAAAAACTAAGCACTGAACTAAGCAAACACATCTGGAACCTAAAAGATGAAAACAAAACTTTTAAAATATCCTGGAAAATTATCAAACAAGCTGCTTCATGTAATCCTGTCTCCAAACGCTGCAACTTATGTCTATGGGAAAAATACTATATAATATGTAAACCGCATCTCTCTACACTTAACAAAAGAAACGAACTTGTAACATCATGTAGACACGCAGGCAAATACCTTCTAAAGAACTTTAGATCTTAATCAATCAGTTAATTACCATGTCACGCTATATCATTGTAAATCCGCCTATATCATATATCTATTAACCGTTGTAAATCATTTTAAATTTGGCTACTTACCTGATGAGTGCCGCACAATTCTTTGTGCGGTACGAAACTATATAGTAGTAAATGATGCCAAATCTTTAGTCGTTTCATTTTTTTCTTATGTATATATATATGATATATGTATATAAATGAATTTACAGCTTTTTGCAAAAATTATGAGAATTGTCGAAATATCTAAATATCATAATATCGAGTGCATGATGGGTAATCCTGCGCGATGCCCTTAGTCCCTTGTCTTTGTAGTTTAGTTTTTTTTTGGCGACAGACTTATCCGTAGTTCTGAACATTTTCTCGATGTCAACAATGAATTATTCTAGCAAACCCGCGTGTTCCGGACAATATATGGATATGGATATTATGATATTTAGATATTTAGACAATTCTCATAATTTTTGCAAAAGGCTGTACAACTACTGAAATCAAACTAAAACAAACAAACATTAAAAAAAATGTTAGTATTTCAATAATTCAGGGCTATCCCATGTCTTAATTCTACAACAAAAAATATAGTAGGTTGTTCTAATAGCAAGATTGATCATTTTCCTTATAATATAGCGACGTTGTGTTTTGTCCATCCCAATGTCATTTAACATTTCCAGAAAGGTGGAGCATTCATTTGAAAAAATGCCCAGAGAACTCATAGATAGGTTAATAAATTTAACTCGCGTATAATTGCTGCTCAGCTCGTTAATCAAGACCTTGTATTTTTCCTTTTTCCGTATTGCGTTTTTGCAAAGGTTAGACTCAAAACCAACTGTTAGTTCTAGGACATACAGACATTTGGAGTGTATAAGCAAAAGCAGATCAGGTCGGAACGTGTCACCAGTTATAATTGAAGGACTCCGGAAACCATTTACGTCAGCATACAGTAAAGAGCGATCATTTATTTCAGGTTTAAGCAATGTGGCAATGAAGTTGAGAACTGAGTCATGTCTCCAGGTAAACCGTTCAAGGTAGTGCTGGCAACCAGCGACAACGTGGAGAAGTGATTCAGGGTTAAGGCAGAAAGAGCAGTCAGGACTTTGTGACTTTGTGACTTTGTAATAATAATAATAATAATAATAATAATAATAATAATAATAATAATAATAATAATAATAATAATAATAATAATAATAATCTTTATTGCTTATACCGCGCATGTTTCATGTGTATATGATCACATGCGCCTAACAGATAAAATATATAAATTACAATAAGTTCTTAACTATACTAGGCATTTAGATTATTAACAATTCAACAATAAGTAACTCCAATGAAATAAAAAATAAAATGAAACTAAATATATAAATATACGTATACTATCAGTGGTCGGTATTCCAGTTTTCATTAGAGTGCTCGATACTGTGTAGAGCAGGATACATCCGTTAAAATCATATGTAAAAATACGTATAAGTATTTAATGTTCATAAGCTACTCTAAATAAAAATGTCTTTACTAAAGTCTTAAATCTGCTGTAATTGTTCTCTTCTCTAATGTTACGAGGCAGTGCGTTAAAGAGAGCCGGGGAGGCTGCAGCGAAGGACCTATCACCCAGAGTTTTATAAGTSTTCGAGCTGAATKGCTTCAGAAGAAGTWYGTWATTTCTACGAAGACCATAACAGCTTGGAGGTTCTACTGATACTAGACAGCTTATATAATCAGGAGCAAGGCCATGAATGGCTTTAAACGTCAGCRCAAGGATCTTGAAGTGGACTCTTTCCTTTACTGGTAGCCAGTGCAACGACCATAAAACAGGAGTTATATGGTTGTACTTTGGCGTKTTGGTAATTAATCGTGCTGCAGCGTTTTGAACACGTTGTAATTTACTGATGGATTTTGCTGGTAATCCGTAATATAGACTATTGCAATAGTCAAGTCTTCCCATTACAATGGCATGGACAAGAGTTCGCGTTGTATCAACAGATAGATATTTTCTAATTCTTCTAATGTTGTGGATAGAATAGAAAGCCATCTTACAAGTGTTGCTGATATGCTTTGACAATTTCATGTTTTCATCAAATATAACTCCTAAGTTTCTAGCCTCCGTGACTGGTCTTAAAACAGAATCTCCCACAGACAATTTATCAATGTGAACTTTGTTCAACTGTTGTTTGGTTCCAACTATCAGAAATTCAGTTTTAGTGTCATTTAATTTCATCGTATCAGTGATCATCCATGCACGAATCGCATTTATACAGCTTTTCATGGCAACTGTAGACTCGTCCTCACTGGTGGTGCATCCTGGTTTAAATGACAGATATAGTTGTGTATCGTCTGCATACGCATGTATAGAGGGTAGGTACTTCTCAATGATGACAAAGAGTTTGCTAGAGTACAAGGGGAAGACCAATGGCCCTAAACACGAGCCTTGTGATAGACCACATGATAACTTGAATTCCTTAGAAAGACCGCCTTCTAGAGTCACTCGTTGAAATCTTCCTGACAAATATGATATGAACCAATCAAGCGCTTTTCCAGATATACCAAATKAAGTTTCCATTCGTTTCAGTAGTACATTGTGATCTACTGTATCGAATGCAGCGCTTAAATCCAAGAGGATTAACAATGTTACGTGCTGTCGATTCATGCTTAATAAAATATCATTCTGGATTTTAAGAAGTGCTGTCTCGGTGCTGTACCGCTTTCTATACGCTGACTGCAATTTGATGATAGCATCGCTTTTAAAGCTTGAGGTTTTTAATTCGATATCACTAACTATTGAATAATTTCAAATTCAAAATTATCAGTTTTAGTACTTTAAGAAAAAAGTTAACTTGATCACGATATGTGATATGTAAAAAAAAAAGATTAAAAAAGGCATATATTACATTGATTACATGTCACGTGATCAATATATTCTGCTACATATTCGCCGGTAATAAAACGAGTTGGAGCCTGGGTCGAAAATGCGGCCGCAAGGCATGCATGGATTGTTTGGCTGGACATAGAAACCAAAATTGCGTCAAAACATAGCGAAAACACAGAAAACAGCAAGAAAGAAACGATCATTTTAATTGAAGAAGACATCCCTGGCGCTACTTAACCGCATAATACTGTAGAAGCATGTATGGTTAACGTGCAGAGGGGCAAAAAGAATGCTTTTATAAACAGGTACGATGACAATCCACTAAACTAAAATTTACTTGCACTTGATTGTAATAAAACGTTATTTTGTGCTCGGAAATCGATTTCATTCTATAATTGCACGATAAAGATCTTATTTTTACTTGATATTCCTGTTTCTAGGGTGAAACACTACATAGACAACGGCCTCGACAAGAGATACCTCCGCGATCCCGATGGCGGCGTGCATATTATGAAGAAGAAAGCCAGCCTTGGTTTGATGAGCGAAAACGAACCTAAATTGGATGATAGTCTTCCCAAGGAAGGATTCAAATGTGATCTCAGCGATATTCCAAAAGTATCATTTGGATCAATTTGGAGATATATGATTGACGCAGTTCAATCGAAAAAACAGCTTTCCACAGCAAAACCTCTCGTAAAAGGTTTTAACTTCTACAAGTCCGGACAAGTGCTAGCTGTTTACCATCAAAAACGAAATKGTAAAAACTACCTTAAAAGTCAAGTTCTYCCTTCAATGAAGAAAGGCATTATATATCAGTGTAACATAGTGATGTCAAGTATTGGTGGTGTTTTGAAAGCACACTGTGGTTGCCCAGCTGGCATAGATGGCAGGTGCAACCATGTGTCAGCTACACTGTTTTCTCTTGAGGAGTACTGCAAGGAAAGAGAGAGAAACAGCAGGGAATCATGCACTTCAAATCCATGCAAATGGAATATACCAAGAAAGAGAAAAGGTCCAGTAACTCCCATTGCAAATATTACATTTAAAAAACATGACTACAGTAAAAAAAAAAAAAACAAAAAAAAACTGGAAAGTTCCCCATTACTAGCACCAGGGAAAGATGTAAGAGCTGAACACCAGAGGGTATGGACACCAAGCAAGATTTCCAACATGTTTAACAGTATTGAGGCATATCAGGTGAAAATTGGAAATGTAGTTGCATGGAGCCACATTCTGCCACAAGAGACAAAGGAAAGAACAGATGAGTCAGTTGGGCCAGCTGGACTTTTTATCAGTCAATCTCATGGTTTTCTGGCAGCCACCCCAGATGGCCTGGTTACAGATCCCCACTCCCCACTACCACTTGGACTTCTTGAGATGAAATTCATTCAATTGAATGATAACGAGAACTTGGACAATGTACTGCTTCAAAAGAGAATCTGCACGTCTGCTGGTAATGATAACAGCCTGAAAATAAACAACCACAAGTATTACTACAGGTCCAACAGCAAATGTTTGTTACCCAGTTGAAATGGACTGACTTTGTTGTCAAGGGGAAATTCACTGGAAATTCAGAGAGTAAGCTTTAATTCAGAATTTTGCTGCAAAGTTCTTCCCAAGCTTTGTAGTTTTTTTGACAAACACATTCTTTCAGAGCTTTCCTGCTCAAGAATCAATTATGGGCTTCCAAGATTTAGTTTTAGAGAAAATTAGGAAACAAACACTAATATTATGCAACATGTAAACCACTTAATACTTATAGATTGTGCTAACTTTATTGATGTTTTATTGATGTAATAAATATCTTTTGACATATACAAAGCTTGATTACAGTTTATAATAAATCTATAACTCACCTTGCAATATATTGAATAGTTTTGACAAATTCAAATTCAGAGTAAAATAACAGGATCTATACAGTCATCTAATTTATCAATGGAGGTTGACAATTAAGATATCAGAAGCAACAGGGGCTAATTAAATTGGTATTTTGTGATCAAATATATGCCAGTTTTCCAGTCTTTCCATCAACCTCTCTACATGAACACGCAAACTTGCAATCGTCTTGTTATGCTCTGTTTCACTTATAGAGGACTGCTTCTTTTGCTTAAGATAGTTAGGTGTAACTAAAATTGCACCAACAGAAGCTAGCTCATCTTGACACTCGAATCCTTCATCTGCCATAACCTCGTCATCCTTTTTCAATTTGTCCAGTAAGCCACTTTGTATTGTTATTTCTTTGTCTGATGTACTTCCGGGAAAGAGTTTGCTAACAAATGCAACATCACCACTTGGTGTAATACCAAGAAGAGCCTTCATAGTGTTTGTGCTTTTATATGAAGAGTAACAGGCTGATTGAGTATGAAGTGAGGATGGTTTTTCCATTCGGAACTCGGTACAATCAACAGTGAGCACAGTTTCAGGGCAGATTTGTTGAAATACATTAGGCATATGTAATTTCAAAACACCTGTTGGTGGAATTTCAATAAGTGGCCCAAACTCTGACCTCAGAAATCTTGTCCACGAGCGTGTTATCCTTGAGACAGTCATGATTGAAACATTAAATCTATGTGCTAAGTCTCTTTCAAATAATCCGAGGCACAATCTCATCATGACCATGGTGAATTCTTGAAATGTATTCAGGGCTCTAGGTCTGCCAGGTTTATTTCTTGCATTTAGATCACAGTATATTCTTTCATGGTTGAAGCTTATATTCTTGGCAGAGTCTTTTACTAAGTTGTAACATAACATAAATAGTTCATAATCAGGAAATCCTGTGTAGAAGGCAATGGGTTGTTTTTGTATTTTTCAATGTCAAAAATAGCATTTTTATGTAAAGCTATATTCAAATCCTTGTTCATTTCTCTCAGCTGATCACATTTTGTTCTTAATTCTTTGTTTTCTTCCTTGAGAGAGTTCAGTTATTTCATGATCTCTTCGACAGATTTAAGATTCATATCAGTTTGTGTATCTGTTGTTGTAGATTGGTTGTTTGTGTCACAACAGCTACTACCTTCGATATAACACTCAGCTTCGTTAGGAATTACATTTGAGTGTTGCTCATCTAAGGTTTTATCAGTTTGGAAGTCTCTTGTACTCGAAGTCGTATTGATCATATTTGTATTAGCATTGTCAATCACCTCAATCACTTGAGTGGAGAAGTTGATTCTTCTTCTTTCCTTTTCTTAGTCCTYGGTACATAGTCATGCTTAATTATTTCTCTTCTTGGCGTAGTATCTTTTGTCCATGGAAATACACTTGATGATGATGATGACGACTTAATTCCCCCCCCCCCCCCCTTCAAAACTCTCTGAACAGATCCTGGTCTGACTTGAGTCGAGTTTCAAAGAATCGTTTTTCAGCTATAAGTTTTCCTTAATTTCTCGCATTTCGGGATTCTGTAATATTTGAATTGTTCCTAAAATTATTCGTACAGCTAGGAACACAGCAGTTAAAAAGTGAGGCATTTTTGTAAACAACGAAATCTACACATGTATTCTGTTCAAAATTGCCGCTCTGTCCAGCCAAACAATCCATGCATGCCTTGCGGCCGCATTTTGGGCCCAGTCTCCAACTCGTTTTGTTACCGGCGAAATCATGAAATTATCATCATTATTACTATTATTGTGATAAATGTATTGATGAAAGTGATGATAGCTACCACGATACAAGTCATGATGACGAGGATATCTAAGCCTTTGAACTTTATGAAATGTACATGTCTAGATTATTAATTATAATATCAGGTGATGCTATATGTAAGTTCAATATCTTGCTAATTTGAGAACGTAGAACAATGTCTTTGGAAATAGGATTACGATATAACTTCATAGGATTTTCTATCTTTTTTATATCTTCAATGGAATATAAATAAAATACGAACTAACCTTTTTCTTTATGGGAGACAACATCTGTCTGACTTGATTGAATCAGCTGGTCCTTTGAAATAATGATAATAACATTGATGCAGAAGGTTGTGTCAATAAGGATGATGATAATACTTTAGTTGTAAAGTGGTTAATATTCTTGAAGCTTTATTTTCTGGTATATGAACTTTTCATTCACTGCTTATCTGTTAACGTAGCAAACAAAACAACAAAGTTTCACATACCAGAAAATGAAACACTAGTGTTCTATCAGATTTAAAAAAAATTATTAATAATGCATGAGCTATTACTCCAATAAGGGTTGTCCATTTAATCAGGTGATTGACCTTGTAAATCTGATACAACACTAGTGTTGTATCAGATGTACAACATGGTCGTCACCATTGAGACAACCCAACACTAGCAAAGGTCTCTGTTTTATTATCGCATCTCGCTGGAGCATTAAAAGTACTGTATCGTGTGCATAAACTGAAAATATTCCCCTTCCATCCCTCCCCTCCCGCATCAATGTTGCATGCAGGGGTTAATGAATGGACAACCAATGAAAAGAAAGCCACACAACATTGTATTGGGGGAAGGGGGGGCATGAGTAAGGTTTTATCGACGAAGAATGTTAGAAATTTCGTGCGTGCGTAAAAATTGTCAACATTTATATCCACGATTGTATTTTCCAATATTCTGGTTTTTAAACGTTTTGTCGCGATATTTCGAAGTGTAAGCGATACGTATCTTCTCTTACACGTAGATATAATTAATGGAATGGAGTAGTGGATAAGAAASAAACTGAATTACGTATATTTTGCCGTGAGAAGTTTCGAAATGGGCTCTAACTTTAGATGTCATGTAAAATACAAACCGCGGTGCACGTGACAAGGCACAAGATCGTGAAATGCAATAATGATATTCAGATATATTTAACTCCTGCATTTATATAACGGTGAAAGTGATTTCAAAGAAGCAGTAAGCCGTAGAAGATGTTCAATTTCACAAGTCAAATACCCAAATCTAGGCATCACTTTGTCATACCATGTTGCCATTATTTTGCAAGAACTGTGCTCGCCTTCGCATTCAAAGCCATATATCTCCGCCTTTACTTAACATTTTTTAATAAAATATACAGAGTTACGGTTTACAATTGTTTGAATTACACGAACTCAGTACTGAAATTAAGAATGAAAGCTATTTCGATGAAAACACAACGGTTTACACTTAGTTTCATGCAACAAAGAAAAATGATCTTGTGTATTTTCTTATATAAACATTGGACGGTTTACAAAAGTAAACCGTTATTTCTCACTGAAAATGAAGTCTATTTGYACTTTTTATSGGCTWAGACGTATTTTCAGTTGTTCCGTATTTATAATGTATAAAGATTTTAATCGTGTTAACACATTTGAGACCTTTTCTAGGCCAAAAAGTAAAAAGTCCTCTGTACGGTTTACATAGCGGAAATGACGTCATTCGTGCTCTCACGAAAGTCCACTGTATTTATGTGAATATTTGGGCACATGCGACTTCGTAAGTGTATTGAGTAACTGAGGATTTCTCCAAATTAATAGCTCAATTGATTTCTTTCTTGTTTATGCTTGATTAATGAGATTTATCCTATTTTTATAGAAGCTATATCGCTTTCCATGGCAATGTCTTGGACAATTTTTTAATGTATTGTTTCTTATTTCTGGAACTTCTTACTGTATCATCTGCTATATTTTGCTTTATTAGCCTTCTTATGTTGCTCACCGCGTATTAGGTGAAATAGGCTTTCTTTGGAGCTCACATTTGGACCTCTCTACAGAGAACAAAGGAGTTTGGACTCATAGATTGCTTTGGCATGATGTCGCGCTTGTGCACATGTTTAGCGTGATTTCCGTCACAATACTAAAATGCCATTTTTCGTAACCTGTTCACTATTAATTCGTAAACTTTTCCTACGAACGTATTGCTTTTGTAACGGCGTTTCTTTTGAGTATAAACATGGCATGATTCCTTTAAGCGCGCATTAAATTTTTACAAATACAGTTTCAGACAATCGGACATAAATACTTGAAAATTTTTCGCTGGAGCATTAAAAATACTGTATCGTGTGCATAAACTGAAAATATTCCCCTTCCCTCCCTCCCCTCCCGCATCAATGTTGCATGCAGGGGTTTAATGAATGGACAACCAATGAAAAGAAAGCCACACAACATTGTATTGGGGGAATGGGGGGCACGAGTAAGGTTTTATTGACTAAGAATGTTAGAAATTTCGTGCGTGCGTAAAAATTGTCAACATTTATGTCCACGATTTTAGGCATTAATTTGTTAATGACAATACAGTGATGTAGTCTAAGCAATTTTAGATCTAGGCTGTTAGGAGTGGACACAACACTCTTACCAGTCCTTCTTCTTTTACCATATTCATCTGAAATAGAGAAATAGCATAATTATTATCATGATAATTTATTAATGACCAGACAATGATGTAGTATTGACGCAATTTTAGATATCGGCTGTAAGGAGTGGACACAACACTCTTATCAGTCCCTCTGCTTTCATCGTCTTTAGCTGAAATATAGGAATAGGATAATTATTCTATTAATAACTATTTATTAATGACTAGACAGTGATGTAGTATTGAAGCAATTTTAGATCTAGGCTGTTAGGAGTGGACACAACACTCTTACCAGTCCTGCTGTCAAAATCTCCAACTAAAATAGACAAATAGAGGACATATCTACATCTACATCTACATTTTATTTAGTCGGTAAAATCTTTCGATATCACACCAACTCTAAAATAAAAATTTATTTATCTATTTATTTAATTATTTATTTATTTATTTTAGCAATGGCGCGTGCAAAACACTCAGTTTGCTGAAGAAGGCCGAAGTGCCGAAACGTTCAAATAAAAGTAGAAAACCTAGTTACAAGTTGCGTGGCTTTTTCTTCAATTTATGCTATATATATATATATATATATGTTCATAAGAATGGAATTAAATAAAAATATATACAAGGGATTGTTACATAAGTAAGAAGACAAAATGTTTGATATAATGCATAAACTTAATTAAATAAACTTAAGATGCACTTGCAGATTACGTCTAAATTGCTCTATTGAGTCGAGCTCGACGAGCTCAGCTGGCAAACAGTTCCAATCTCTAATAGTTCTGGGGAAAAACGAATAAAAATATTTGTTCTTATAAGTTAGAAAAAGTGTAAAGGTAGAATATGACCAGTATTAGAAACATTTCCCCAAAAGAAACTAAAAAGTGCCAAAACAAAATGGAATAGACAACGTTGTTAAAACTGACCAATCATGGMTCAGTAGCACAACTGTTGTCTAAACGTACCAATCAGAAACAGTTTTCTATAAAGGTTAAGCCACTATAGACAACTKTAGTCAAAACCATGCAATCTACTTAAATACTCAACTACTGTTGTTGCTTTTGACCAATAGCATTAYGCAGTTAATTGATCCTGTATTTGCTTGATCTTATCTCTGATAATTGATGTCAAAATTGATCACTGAGTAAACTGTCCATTTGATATGTGTCAAAGTCAATTGAAAATTTGCTTTTGTTTGAAAAGAGCAAGTTTGGTTAAAAGGGCAAACAATACTTTGCTTTTGAAATCCACTTTTTGCTGTTAAGCAGTTATCAGTCAGTTTGTGAATCATGTGAAACACTAGTTTAAACAAAAATAATTCTTGACAACTGTTATAGTTAACGGAGACTTAATATATTCATATAA